AAAGTAAAAGTAGACAAACAAAAACTAAAAGTAAAAGTAGACAAACAAAAACTAAAAGTAAAAGTAGACAAACAAAAACTAAAAGTAAAAGTAGACAAACAAAAACTAAAAGTAAAAGTAGACAAACAAAAACTAAAAGTAAAAGTAGACAAACAAAAACTAAAAGTAAAAGTAGACAAACAAAAACTAAAAGTAAAAGTAGACAAACAAAAACTAAAAGTAAAAGTAGACAAACAAAAACTAAAAGTAAAAGTAGACAAACAAAAACTAAAAGTAAAAGTAGACAAACAAAAACTAAAAGTAAAAGTAGACAAACAAAAACTAAAAGTAAAAGTAGACAAACAAAAACTAAAAGTAAAAGTAGACAAACAAAAACTAAAAGTAAAAGTAGACAAACAAAAACTAAAAGTAAAAGTAGACAAACAAAAACTAAAAGTAAAAGTAGACAAACAAAAACTAAAAGTAAAAGTAGACAAACAAAAACTAAAAGTAAAAGTAGACAAACAAGAACTAAAAGTAAAAGTAGACAAACAAAAACTAAACGTAAAAGTAGACAAACAAAAACTAAAAGTAAAAGTAGACAAACAAAAACTAAAAGTAAAAGTAGACAAACAAAAACTAAACGTAAAAGTAGACAAACAAAAACTAAAAGTAAAAGTAGACAAACAAAAACTAAAAGTAAAAGTAGACTAATGAGAAGAGAAAATAAAAAATTTCTTAAAAAAGTAGAATGGCATTTACTGCAACACAAAAGAAAATTGATAAATATAAATTCACAAATGGCATTAAGGGTATATTTAATTGTAATACTTGTCTCTACCTTATGAATATGAACTTGAAACGTTCCACCTGTGATTTTACAAATGATTGGTCCTAAATCCATGCCAGAGCATATAAATGTACTGAGATACTTTTAACACTAAAACTAACTGGAATGCATTAAATAACTTAATTGCAGATCAAAAATCATTTTCTCACCACTGACGTTGGGTCACTCAAATATTTTAAAGCATACATTAAAACAGTTTTTAAAATTGCAATTAAAAAGTGTTTTAAAATTGATTTCCACTATCACAATGATTTACAATATAAATGTGAATTATGTTTGTAAATTAGTTAACAGTTTCAATATTGATAGTTTCAATAATGTTGTCTAAAAATGTACAACCAACTTGTATTTTACATGCAGCATGTTAAGAGGAAAATTCATTTTTGCTGAATTATACACCTCTTTAGGCTGTGTATATAAAATATTTAATTATTGATTGGCCATCAATCAAAATGTGTTCCATTCTGATAAAATATTTTTTTTTTTTAAACTGCACTATTGTATATTGTAACCCCTCATCCCAGTAATTTTTGAAGGTGGTTACAAATTACAAATGTTAAAAATATCAAACATATATGTGTGGTTTTGGTCTCATCAACTTTTAGAACTGGTAAAATGTAGGTAGTGGACTTGAGTATTTCAAAGTAGGTAGTGGACTTGAGTATTTCAAAGTAGGTAGTTGACTTGAGTATTTCGAAGTAGGAAAATAACAAGGCTCAAAATAACTATCAAAGTGCTATTAAAATTAAACCCAACATTTTTAAAGTGCAAAAACAAAATGGAAAAGAAAAAACAACAAGATTTTAATTAAAAAGAAATTTAGCAGAAAAACAAGTGCATCTTCCATTTAAAAAAAAATATATAAACATGTTGAGTATTTCTTTGGTCATATGGGCAAACAAGTTTTAGTTCTTGAAAGATTAGCAATTATTTAAATAATTTTTTTTATTTCTCTATAGCTGAATATCTCTACAAATATGTTGTTCTTTCTTGAAAGCTGAATATCTATTCTATGTTTTTTTTGTGGAGGTTTAACAACTATTCAAATTTTTTAATAGAATTTGAAGCAGAATAATTTAAAGTACAAAAACTTTCCATTTTCTCTTAGCAATATTTTTTCAAGAAATTAAGTTTTTGTTTTTATGTAGCATGCATTGGATTTTGGTAATTTAATAAAATGTTAAGATCCTATAGATTTTTCATAATGTGAACTAAATGTGGAATACATGGCAACGTGAATTATAATTTGTCAAATAAAAGTGTCAATAATTAACTGACCAGAAGTTAAAAGGAAATGAGTACATTTTTAAAAGATAAATCTTTCAAAATTAACATTCAAACGAATTGATGATGTAATGCAACATTGGAAACTTAAATGTATTCATCACAATACACCGGGGATATAATAGTAAATAATTAACTGAATAATGAAACAAAAAAAAATAATTTTTTTCACAATTATTGTACAGTATTAAAGTATCAGTAATGCACCTGGAAAAGTTAGGACAAATGTCTAGTAATGAGTTTATTTCTGAAATTGACAAAAGTATTACAAGATACCGTACAAAACACTTCCAATCTCACTTCAAACACTTTCTTTGTTTGGGGACAATTTCATTTAGAAACCAAAAATAATAAAGCTATAAAAAATGCTTTTTACATCTCAAAGTTGAGAAATTTGAAAAATACACTCCTTTATTCTAAATAATTCTTAATAAATACAGAAGTAGAGAACAATGCTTCTCCTAACTTCTAATGTTGGTTGATACTGTTAGTTAGCATGCAGGAAACATTTTGTTTTCAGAAAACTATGACATTAAAAAATGGAGATGTTTTACTTATACTTACAGTCATGAACATTTCCTTGTAATTTGACATTTTTGACATTTGAACTAACTTCAACTGAGGCCCAGATGGTTATTTCTATCACTTAAAGAAAAAATTACTTAAGGGTACCGGTACCGGTACTGTTTTAGGTTGCACTTGTTGAAAACCCTTATAATTCTCATACTGAAAAATTTAAAGGAACCAACCTGAACAATGCCAGATTAAAAATAACATTCAGGAAAAAAAAAATGAAAATAAAATCAGATTTTATTTCACTCAGACATGTTTGGTGATTAAATTTATACCACATAATCACATTTTCCATATATATGAATACAAATATTAAAAAGTAGGATCACTTTGGGAAGCAAAAAAAAAACAGAATTCCTTTCTTTTGTTACCTTTTTATGCGTATAAAAAAATAAGATTGTGATGCATTGAGTTTACTGCACTCTTTGGTTATCATTAATTAACTACATAAAGAAAAGAGGCACGCAGAGATGTCAGTCTCATCACTGCACCATCAAACATGTCCCCTCCCAGCTCACTTCATCACAATCGGCACAATGCAGCAGATGGCGGGGCCACAAAGATGCATACATGGAGAGAACAGCCCATTCATTTACATTAAACTCCAGTCACAGCACTCAGAGTGAGTTCAATAAATAACTTAAGGAATGAGATTATTTTGTGCAGCATTTTATCGACAAGAGAAAATTTCAGATCATTGGGAAAAAAAACCTTTAAAAACAAAACTAAAAATTTTTTTTTTTTTTTTACAAAAATAAAAATTGGAGCAACTGAAGCACCATAAAAAAACCAAATATTTATAGAAACATTTTATGTTTCAATTTAAATAATAAAAGTTCAAAATAATACCAGTTGGTATTTTTATAAAAACATTCTACCTAGCACATGATGTAAATATAGAGTTAAAGCAATATGACTATTGGATGCATCACCATGCTTTAAAACAGAGACACAAAGACATATAGTATAGCATAATCCATGCTAAATGCCATAGCTATTAAAATCAAATCACACTACCCCTGCTATTGACCTGCCCACAAATGTATAATAGTTGATTTTTAAACAATGATAATGTTGGTCATGCATAAACTCTAGGAAATGAATTCAAATAACACCTAGTCCACCCATCAATTAAACCTAGATATCTATGACTAACAATGCATATAGTATCTGTCAATAGCCAATCAATGTGCACAAAACTACTCATGAGATAAAATGATCTCAAAACTCTTATAATTATTAAAATTTTGTTCTCCTATCATAGTGATGTTAATTAGGCCAGTTACATTTACACCACAATGTGCCGTAATTATCCTGGGCCTGGTAAGAATCACAAAAATTACCACATTTTAAATAACAACACAGAGGGGCAAACCAGTCTGAAGAAATCATTTTTTAAAAAAAATAAAATCATTGGCTTCTTGGACTTGGATATTGTAAAAGTGAAACAAAGCAAAACCATGTGTAGTCTCAGAGGATTTCATTTAGTTCATAAAGTGTTTCTCAAAAGTTTAGTGTCTTTGGCATAATATCTCTTCATCTTACACTAAATGACACACTTTTGCATTCTGACTCTGAATTCAAGCCAAATAATTCTTCATCATAAAATATGACTACATAAAAGATATTTACACAGTTTTGATATGCCTCTTGGCACAGTATTAAAAAAACAATCAATTGATCCAAAAACGATGGCACAGCCTCACAACTGCACAATCCAATGATTTATAATTCTCTATCCTGGATAAAAAATAAATTATTGAATATTGTTCAATCATTAAAATATTAAATGTTGATCAATCAAAAAAATAATTGAATGCTGTTAAATAAATAAAATATTAAAATGTTGGTTTATTTTGTTCAACTGTTAGTTAAAATTTGTCAAATCAAAGTGTTAAAGCCACATAAATTGAATTAAAAACAAATAAAGCTCTGGAATCTTCACATGGGTGAGCCACATGCATTGGTTGAGATAGCATGGAGGCAACATTGAGAAGCATGAAGGTAACAATGAGACAGCATGAAGGTAACAATGAGACAGCATGAAGGTAACAATGACAGAGCATGAAGGTAACAATGAGTATTTTTTTTAGACACAACTCTGACCCGCTCAATGAGTGTTCAAATGAATTGTGCTATAATAACTGCACATCATATTTTGACTAGAAGATACCCCAATGTTAGATGACAGCTGCACGGAGTAATCCAAAACTTTATATAGCATTTATGTGTGCTCCAACAATAAATATGTGTTATCTACAAATAGTGGAAAGGGGGGGGGGGGGGGGGGGTGTTAAAATGATTATTTATTTTGTCTTCCAGGCCAGTTTTTCTAAACCTTATAACAGTTTTAAGGCCTGACTGGTCTCAGAAAACCAAAACAAGAAATGATTTCATCTGCAACTCAGTCTAGATGGTCTGTGTGAATTTCAGATGAACTTTGACCCAAACGGACCTCTGACTGAGCATGACAGCGGAACCAGCTGTTCCAAAATAATAAACTCATATTCTGTGGAGACAGAGACATTTAAAAAATAAATAAATAATGAAGATCACTGGGATTTACTGTACCACCAAAAAATTTGTTTCCAGCGATGGATGAAGTTGATAAATGCAGAGAGAAGTACTTCTAGACGAAGACAGGTACTTCTGTACTAGATTCAGACTAGCTGGCATCATCAGAGTGCAAGCAACTTTTGAGTAGATGTCCGTGACCCATGTGCCTCAACATGTCTACAGCTTCCTTGTGGGACTGAAAGATCAAGTCAGTTCACCAAACTCATTTAGGAATAAGCAGTGTTAAATAAGGGATACATTTTTTTTTTAACATTCATACTGCAGTATTTCTTGTTGTACCTGTACCACAACCCATCAAATCAAACTAGTCATTATTTCACCTCTTCTTGAATGGTGTGTCAAAATGATGTTGTCCCAACTTGTATTTAGGACTTTCAAGGTTCATGTGTTGATTGCTATGGACCCAAGAACACAGCCTTCTCTCCCCCCCATCCCCACCAAAAAACAAAAAAACTGTATTCTGTATTGGGGCTATATCTTATCTATAACTAAAATTTGATACCAGTTCTCTAGATATTTATAATGGTGTCTTGGTCAAAACAATCTTTCTTCAACAATTAAATCTATTATAACATTTACTGTTCAAATAGTTTACTAATAAACCAAATAAAGATTTACCTGCTCATCATCAGGGGTCCTGACCTGAAAGTCTAGAGTTTTCTGCAAATATTCAACTGCCTTTTCTTTGTTGTGAAGTCGTAAGTGAGTTTTTCCAATCATGAGTATGTTGGTGCACATGAAATTTTCCTTGACTGTGGGGGCACGAGGGAGGGAAAGGATGGGGAGGGTAAATGTTTTAGATTTTTTTTTTTATATATAAAATTAATGTTTTAGAAAAAAAGAGAGATTGATTTTCATAACTTAGTAAGTACATATTTATAAATCTCTACACACTGACTAAAATGTGAAAAAAAATCCTTCTTATTTTTCCTCACTTAATTTGTAATTGAATACCATTCTTTTATTGTAAATTAATCTAATTTTAAAAATGGGATTTAGCCATTAGATTATAATAAGCAATGGACAACAAAGGTCAGAGATTTTTAAAATTAGCAATTGACATCTAAGCTTATCTCCCCTTCAAGATTAAAAATAGTTTACCTTTTTCTGCCTTCATGAACCATTCCAATGCCTGAAATAAACATGTAAATATTTTCATTAAAACTTTACTCAAAAAGAAGACACAATAATATAAGTAGGTGTTATGCTTAAATCTCCAGCAGTCTGACATCAGTTTCATCTAAGTTTACCTCGTCATATGTCGTCTCAGGGAGAGCTTCAAACAAAGCAGACGCTATCTTTCTTTGGTACCACGGGCGCTCAGCAAACACAAAGCACCAATAACCAATAGAATGGAGAGAAATAGCATCCTCTGGATCTAGTTCAAGTGCTTTCTGCAAACAAACAAATATGCCAATATATAGCATTGTGCCTCTATCGCAGCTTGACAAAGACAAAAATTGTAACCTTAAAAACTGTCAAGAAGTGATGATTTAATCTTTAGATTATTTCATTGACTACTTTTATCAACACATAAATCATGGTTATATTATTCATTCAGCAAAATATCAATATATCAATACAATAAATGTTGCAAAACAAGTTGTATGTAACATTATTTTTGATAATAAGCCCATTAAATGTATTTTATTTTTAAAAATATGTTTTTGTTATTGCAAAACATGTTACAATGACCTTTGAAATAATGTGTGGTTTCACTTTGATACAAAGTATTTGCCAGAAGTTGAGATTAGATTAATTTTATATGTTTAGAAATCCCTGAAGATATAGATACATTTTTTATATTAAAGACTTACATCGAAGTGTTCTCTGACTTTAAAGGCGGTTTGTATTTTGTGCTTGAGACCAATACCTTCTGTAGTGAAGTGTAGCAATGCACCATACCACTGCAACAAATTTAACCAGGTCTAAGTATTCTTAGTAACTCCAGCAACCACACACTGATAATTGTAAGAAACTCCAGTATTAAGTTCCAAAAAAATTATTTGACTCTCTTAATATCAAGTGAGTTGTGACGAAGATGGCTTAATAACAGATTTTTCTTTTAGCATAACTGGGAATCAAATAATCCCCCATTTTATTATCTATAGAATATAAGTACTTGTAAGTCAGTCAGTTGATAGCTATCAATTTTTTTTCTTTTTTTCTTCAAGATCAGAACAACATATGGTCACAATAAATCTGTATAATACAATTTCTTAAGTAGTAAATTGGGCAATAAAACTAATATTGAGGGTTGATATTTACGACATACCCTATGGCAGTGAGGGCTGTTTGGGTTGAGCTCAAGGGCCTTTTCAGCATATGAGAAAGCCTCCAACATGCTGTTTTGGCGTCTGTGTTTGTCCTTTTCATGCTTTGCTCTGTCATGTGTCACCCTGGCAAGTCGCCATTGAATCTCATCATTCATTACTTCTGCAGATTATAGGATAGCTGTGGCATGTAACAGACTTTATTTTGTGCACATTTGATTTTGAAATCCTTTATAATTTCTTGATCCAAACTATTTTGCTTCATGTAAAAATTAAATTTAAAAGAAGGACTTGAAATATAAAATCATGTGACTGAATTTTCCAAACAATTTTTCAAACTTCCTCATTTCATTTCTGCCATATTCTGTCTGCTGGGTGAGAATTCTGCCAGCAGCCAGATGGCACACTATGATTTTTTTAAGCCAACTTTTTCTTGTATTTAACTGATTTTTAGGACATTTACTTAAAAATACATTACTTATAATCCTAATTATATTAGTGCTGCTGTTGTGTTACACAGGAATTAATTTATTATGTGAAATACTTAACTATTTTATTTGGAAAAAAAAAAGCTAAACCTTTTTTTAGTTATGACACTGCCTGTACCTGATAAAAGATTTTTTTTTTCCTAATTGCTTATCCCTTTTGATAACACAGAACACAGGAAAACAAAATGCAATTCTTATTTTTTTTTTTTGCCTAAGCTGCAACCAAATTTTTTTTTTAGTTATGACACTGCCTTTACCTTATAAAAGATTTTTTTTTTCCTAATTGCTTATCCCTTTTGATAACACAGAACACAGGAAAACAAAATGCAATTCTTATTTTTTTTTTTTTTTGCCTAAGCTGCAACCAAATTGTTCATTTAAGATTGGATCACAGGTGGATGATAAGATTTCTGGTGAATCACAGGTGGGTGATATTGTCCGTAACGATAGTTGTCCCTGGTAACACATGATTAGGGATAATGCGCTTAAGTGTTTGTGCATCTCGACGGCCAACAACCTCCATCCAACATCGTCCACTACCACAAACATGAATTTCAAAACAAAATGATGCCTAAGACTTTTAAGTAAGGAGTAATCATTGGAAATAATTTGGGACCAGACTTCGGAGGATTGCCCAAGTCTCTAACAGGAAAGTTTACTTATATATTTTAAACATTTTAGTAATGGACTGCCAATATTCTTTCCACTTATGAAACTAAACAAAATCTTTATGTTGTGGAGAAAAAAAAAAGATAAAAAGAAATGTTAATGATTTTTTAGCAGCTTTGCTGAAAAAATTAATAACATTTTCTAACCTTTGTGCTGAGTGAGATAGTCATACAGTTCTTGTATTTTATAAGCTGTGTAAAGCTCATCAGCTCTCTGTGTCACATCCAACATGTTTGTTTGGCAGCTATGATGATGAAGGCTGAGATCGGTTTGTTTTAATGTTTTTCCAGCCTCTGTTGAGAATTAAAAATTCAGAGAAATGTACAGCTAAATAGAAGCCATTTAGATTGTTTTAAATTAAATCAATGTAAAAAAAAAATTATCTGTGATGACCAGGAGGAGGTGAAGCATTATAAATGAAAAAAAAAAAAAATCTGAATGTTTCAGCTTCTTCAACTGAAAAAAATTATATGATGATATATATATAAAATTAACTTTAAAAATTTGATTTCAAATTAGTAATAATAATTTAATAATATTACTAATTCAAAGGAAAACTCCATAGTCCATGCCATATACTTATACTATTCATATAGTTAGTAATTATATAGGCGGCATGCTAATAATACTATCACTATCATTCAATGATAGTATTAGTATTAGGATCATAATCATAGGTTATAGTACAGGCATAGGATTAGGATGATTAGGATGAAATTAAGTTGAAACTTGTCCGTTTACTTTTTAAGTTCAAGTTTAGACAGTATTTACTATTATCCTAAAATTAAAATATAGTAGGCCTAATTAGTAATAATTAGCATTCTATATATCAATATCATATGGGGCTGAAGTATATGAATGATGATTAAATTGATTATTTCAATATTTGTCCCTAAATTTTAATCATTGGTTTGAGTAGAAAACCACTAAAGTTAGTAAAAATCATTATTCATACTCGTACTATAAACTTAAAATATATTATTATTATAGTATAATGTATAGTTAGTAGTTAGTTATAGCCTCTGCAAAGCCCAAAATGAAAAGAAAACCTAAGCCTAAGCCTAATACTAATAGAATTATAAAGTTATAAAGCCTCAAATCTTTCTTACCATTTATATAATTTATTGGTCTTTATTATAATGTCTTACTGGTGGAGGTTCAGCTAAAGGTCTTACTGAAAAGGTTACGCCGTCCGCTATATTTCTGTTATGTTGTAATCCACTGAATCAGCCGTCATCACTAGCCTAGGAAACATGCCACCGCCTTTCACACACTTCCAGAAATAGCACAATGTACTGAAACCGTACACACTGACCTCATTTTTTTCCTTAATTGCGATTGGTTGTCACTTTTAGCATTTCGTATCGCAAAAGCCTGAAAAGGTAGAAATTTCCATTGATGCCTACAATCTTGCAACGCTTCTCGTTTTTCCAGTTGATATTTGTTTATTTCTATGACAGCTATGCTTCTGCTCTTTTCAACCATTTCGATGTTTTTATACCTTTCTTAAAAAAACGAAAGGGCACTTTTTTTTTTAGCCTGAATGAAAAACACAATCCATATGTCGGTGCGCGTTGTTAGCATGAATGGAAACGGTCTCATAGGACTACATGACAATAATGACATTAATAATGATAACAAATAAATAAAAGAAAATTTAAATTAGATTTATCGGCATCGAGAGGTATGGAAAGAAAACTAAAGTTTGTTGCCATGTTGTTGATGTTTTTAAAAATCAAAACAGACTAGACTTCAATACGATGCATTAGCAACAGGCTAAAGATTCAAAGTAAAGATTGTTCTTGGCAGCTGTGAAATACCAGAATACCAAACTATGAATTTCTTTGCAGTGATTTGCAGACACCTATCGACGTATCCATTTTATTTGTATTTACCGCCCCCCCCCCCCTTTCCCTTTTTACACACACAAATAAAATAATAATTACAAAATCAACACACAAAGAGTAAATAAAACTCACTCCCTCACATGAATTAACCATGATAGTCAACTCAAATTAGCCTATTTATTAGGTAATAATCATTTTTTTATGTTAGACTTGAACAAAATACACAGTTTGTCTCTTTTGTTAATTTGAATAAATAATCAAATATTTTTTTAACTAAAAACATTTCTATTTTTTAGCACAGTTTATGCGTTAAGATATTTCACTAAATTAATTACTCTAAAGTCACCGGATTCAAACGCCAACCGGGAAAGTTTAGTTGAGCTCTCTCGAATCAGTTACCTAATGTATCCAAAAATTTGTTTGAAAGAAATTTCGTCGACGGAGAATTGATCGACGGAAGTTTGATCGAACGGAAATTTGATCGAACGGGAGTTCACATATCAAAGGCCTCGGGGGTTGCAGGGCCCATATGACGGCTCTGAGGTTAATCAAGTGATGCCTAGATTTTTAAATAGCATCTCTCCTGCTGCTCTCCGATTAAGTGTAGAATTATGCAAAACTTAATTTAGGTTATGTGCTTAAGTACAATCTTACATTTTGAATTGATCCAAATAATTTTAGGGAGGGGCTTATTGAGGCAGACCCACGTATTTCCCCTGGAATCTTCGGCGTTATTTATTTCTGCTTCCTCCCTGCCCTCGCGCCGTTAAATGTTTAAGTACTGCACATGGGTTGTGTCGAAGCTTGTGCCAAAAGACTGCCCTGGGACGCACCACAACCGCAATAATTTCAATTTGTGGATGGGACTAGGCATCATAATGCCTAATGGACTAGGCATCATAATTCCTAATGGACTAGGCATCATAATGCCTAATGGACTAGCCATCATAATGCCTAATGGACTAGGCATCATAATGCCTAATGGATTAGCCATCATAATGCCTAATGGACTAGGCATCATAATGCCTAATGGACTAGGCATCATAATGCCTAATGGACTAGCCATCATAATGCCTAATGGACTAGGCATCATAATGCCTAATGGATTAGCCATCATAATGCCTAATGGACTAGGCATCATAATGCCTAATGGACTAGGCATCATAATGCCTAATGGACTAGCCATCATAATGCCTAATGGACTAGGCATCATAATGCCTAATGGACTAGGCATCATAATGCCTAATGGACTAGCCATCATAATGCCTAATGGACTAGCCATCATAATGCCTAATGGACTAGGCATCATAATGCCTAATGGACTAGGCATCATAATGCCTAATGGACTAGGCATCATAATGCCTAATGGACTAGGCATCATAATGCCTAATGGACTAGGCATCATAATGCCTAATGGACTAGCCATCATAATGCCTAATGGACTAGGCATCATAATGCCTAATGGACTAGGCATCATAATGCCTAATGGACTAGCCATCATAATGCCTAATGGACTAGCCATCATAATGCCTAATGGACTAGTCATCATAATGCCTAATGGGCTAGGCATCATAATGCCAAATGGACTAGGCATCATAATGCCTAATGGACTAGCCATCATAATGCCTAATGGACTAGCCATCATAATGCCTAATGGACTAGGCATCACAATGCCTAATGGACTAGGCATCATAATGCCTAATGGACTAGGCATCATAATGCTTAATGGACTAGCCATCATAATGCCTAATGGGCTAGGCATCATAATGCCTAATGGACTAGGCATCATAATTCCTAATGGACTAGGCATCATAATGCCTAATGGACTAGGCATCATAATGCCTAATGGACTAGGCATCATAATGCCTAATGGATTAGCCATCATAATGCCTAATGGACTAGGCATCATAATGCCTAATGGACTAGGCATCATAATGCCTAATGGACTAGGCATCATAATGCCTAATGGACTAGGCATCATAATGCCTAATGGACTAGGCATCATAATGCCTAATGGACTAGGCATCATAATGCCTAATGGACTAGGCATCATAATGCCTAATGGACTAGGCATCATAATGCCTAATGGACTAGGCATCATAATGCCTAATGGACTAGGCATCATAATGCCTAATGGACTAGGCATCATAATGCCTAATGGACTAGGCATCATAATGCCTAATGGACTAGGCATCATAATGCCTAATGGACTAGGCATCATAATGCCTAATGGACTAGGCATCATAATGCCTAATGGACTAGGCATCATAATGCCTAATGGACTAGGCATCATAATGCCTAATGGACTAGGCATCATAATGCCTAATGGACTAGGCATCATAATGCCTAATGGACTAGGCATCATAATGCCTAATGGACTAGGCATCATAATGCCTAATGGACTAGGCATCATAATGCCTAATGGACTAGGCATCATAATGCCTAATGGACTAGGCATCATAATGCCTAATGGACTAGGCATCATAATGCCTAATGGACTAGGCATCATAATGCCTAATGGACTAGGCATCATAATGCCTAATGGACTAGCCATCATAATGCCTAATGGACTAGGCATCATAATGCCTAATGGACTAGGCATCATAATGCCTAATGGACTAGGCATCATAATGCCTAATGGACTAGGCATCATAATGCCTAATGGACTAGGCATCATAATGCCTAATGGACTAGCCATCATAATGCCAAATGGACTAGGCATCATAATGCCTAATGGACTAGGCATCATAATGCCTAATGGACTAGCCATCATAATGCCTAATGGGCTAGGCATCATAATGCCTAATGGACTAGCCATCATAATGCTTAATGGACTAGCCATCATAATGCCTAATGGGCTAGGCATCATAATGCCTAATGGGCTAGGCATCATAATGCCTAATGGACTAGCCATCATAATGCCTAATGGACTAGCCATCATAATGCCTAATGGACTAGCCATCATAATGCCTAATGGACTAGGCATCACAATGCCTAATGGACTAGGCATCATAATGCTTAATGGACTAGCCATCATAATGCCTAATGGGCTAGGCATCATAATGCCTAATGGACTAGGCATCATAATTGGATTACCTGATCCGTAGTATTACGTTAATGGACTAGCCATCATAATGCCTAATGGGCTAGGCATCATAATGCCTAATGGACTAGGCATCATAATTCCTAATGGACTAGGCATCATAATGCCTAATGGACTAGGCATCATAATGCTTAATGGACTAGCCATCATAATGCCTAATGGGCTAGGCATCATAATGCCAAATGGACTAGGCATCATAATGCCTAATGGACTAGGCATCATAATGCCTAATGGACTAGGCATCATAATGCCTAATGGACAAGGCATCATAATGCCTAATGGACTAGCCATCATAATGCCTAATGGGCTAGGCATCATAATGCCTAATGGACTAGGCATCACAATGCCTACTGGACTAGCCATCATAATGCCTAATGGGCTAGGCATCATAATGCCTAATGGACTAGGCATCATAATGCCTAATTTGCATGCTGATAGATGCCCGCCCACCCTCCGTACCGGATGCTTGAAAAACCCTTTCACCCGCTGAAATTGTCTAACAGGAAGACAAAATTCAGGTATAGGCAAAAATGCACATTTTGCTCAGGAGCCAATGATGCCCTCGGTTTCTGCCATACTGACCGATACAAATGACAGTACAGTCGGCCCTGGTATCCTATTCGGTGCTGATGGATACACTGCCTAGTTCTGTATTTAGTGTAGTGCCACTCTGGGCGAGGCAAGAGTTTGTGCGCCAAACTTCCAAAGTTCCGCGCCCTCCATTAAAAGGAAAACGAGACACCTGGACGGACAACCCCACCCCCCGTCCACCCCCATTCCTGCTACGCCACTGGCATTGTCCACCCGAACATCTGAAATCCACCCCCTCCTCCCAACCCTGAGGACATGGTCGGAAAGGAACACTGCTCACATGGCGGTCCACCATCTACAAATGTCTCTCAGTTTTGTGCCCGTCTTATTGTCATGCCGGTCCACTCAGGCATACCTTATATGACCTATTTTGAAATGAGAAGAATTGAGCGGTACTGCAGTCTTAGTCGCATTGATTGGTTTTAGTAAATATAAACAGGAATAAGCTCAGCTATTTTGAGTGGAAAATTCCACGCCACGAATCAACAAGTCCTAGGCTTATTTCAACGTTAGCATCGTACACAATGGTCCTGACGACGTTTCTCTGCAAAATACCGTGTGGCTGAACAGTCAAACGTCGTTGAAAGATAGAATCTCAGTTTAAAAGTAGATTTTTAAAGATTTTATTTCGCAACTAATACTTAAAAGCCCATTGTTGGAAAGTGATATTTTCTTGCATTTAATCCACAAACTCTGACATTTCAGAATAACCCCCATGAGCGGATTTAGTAATAATTGTAAAGAGAAAAACCGTGGGTGTGTGGAAGGTGAATTTTATTTCAACATAGAACAATATAACGGACACCCACAATGGATCCACAAGTGCATCACATCAATGCTCACTCCTTACATTTAACCTTCATATCAATCACTGTTGTGGCAAGGCAGCTGAAGTTGGATGACGTCAGATTATATCAAAATTGAATAAATAACCTCCGACTCAAAATTCAAGGGGATGACATATAGAAATAAAAGCAACGCTTGATAGTATTAGCGTTTAATTAAAAGGCACGCGTTGAAAACAAAAGAAACAAACAAATCCTCAGAGATTTCACGCTCGGATTATATTTATTTACACTGGCTTAACTTTAAAAAATTCAGTTGGTGTGAATCTAGGCCCTATCGTATAGGAAAGCCGTCTATAATTTTGTGGTATTTATTAATCAATAAATCAATAAAGAAAGAATTTAACCTCAATTTGAATTGAAAAAAAAAAAAAAACACAAGAAAAAAGAAACACACGTACTTTTATAAACAAACGATTGGTTTATTTAGACCCAGGCCTACAATACATGGAATAACCGTTATTATCCAAATATCCTATTTTAAAAATTAATATTTTAGATTAAAACTATATTTTTAGAGTGCTCTTGTTTTTTCGGATAAGGGGAGGTATTTTTTTAAAGAAAATAATGATTAAGACTCGCGAGTAATGGTTTACAATAGATTATGATCATTATCTAAATTTATACCTGGAAAGAATATTTTACACTAGGGCTTCCCCGGGTCATGACTCACTAGAGTAGTTCTAGTTGGTCGTGCCTGGCTTGCGCTTTTTAAATAGACATAACAGGGTGGATCCAAGGCCAAGTATTACAAAGTCCAAGGCCAAGTATTACAAAGTCCAAGGCCAAGTATTACAAAGTCCAAGGCCAAAAAAGAGTTAACTTCTGATTTTCTATAATATATGCCGGCCGTTAAGCAATAGGCCTACGGACAGTCCTACACCCTGCCTGCCGGCCTTTAAACAATGGTCCCACAGACAGTCCTACACCCTACCTGTCGGCCTTTAAACAATTGTCCCACAGACAGTCCTACACCCTGCCTGCCGGCCTTTAAACAATGGTCCCACAGACAGTCCTACACTCTACCTGCCGGCCTTTAAACAATTGTCCCACAGACAGTCCTACACCCTACCTGTCGGCCTTTAAACAATTGTCCTACAGACACACACATACAGAGAGAGAGAGAGAGAGAGAAAGAGAGAGAGAGAGAGAGAGACGCACCCCCTTTTATATCAAGACGTCATACAGTTGTATCAAATTAAACTGAGTTCAACACTTACAATACCTTGAAAGACACGCCTGCCATTGTAATTAATTCTATGGCAAAACTCACTTGTAGGTGGCACTGTTTCTGGTTTGTCTTGGTACATTTTCAAAAGCAAGAAGGATGGTCCAATGAGCCGGTACTGGAAGATCCGGGCCATCTTTCAAAGTCACTCAATGCACAGAAAGATGGACAGGGCGCCAATCGGTGGGCCTGGCTCACAGTCACACAATCTCACCAAACGATGGTGCTTAACGTGAAAACCATTCGGCCAATAGAAACTGGCCAAGGAAGAGGCGTAGTTTCGGGGGATATATAGAGGGGGCGCCACTTTCGGAAACCTGTAGAGTTTTTTGTGGTTGGGGGGGGGGCTTCACAAATCTTGGCCTGCCCGGGGGGCACTAACTTAACCAACCCTAGTTACGCCCTGGGTGGTAGCTTTTATTAACTGAGATAATTTGAAGACAGCCAGGGCTTTTTTTTTTTTTTTTTTTTTTTTTGTTGCTAAAAAATAAATACAGATTCCTTTCGGGGAAGAGGGATGGGGTTTGGTAAGATCTTAACTTTTCCCCCAGAACTTGACCAAGGTAAACAAAGGGAAACTAGTAGCACAAATTAGGGGAAATAAGTAGCACAATGGGGGTGAAACAAGTAGCACAAGGTATGGGAAACAAGTAGCACAAGGTGGGGGAAACAAATAGCACAAGGTGGGGGAAACAAGTAGCACAAGGTGGGGGAAACAAGTTGCACAAAGTAGGGGAAGCAAGTAGCACAAGTTATGTTAAACAAGTAGCACAAGGTGGGGGAAACAAGTAGCACAAGGTGGGGGAAGCAAGTAGAACAAGGTAGGGGAAACAAGTAGCAAAAGGTAGAGGAAGCAAGTAGCACAAAGTAGGGGAAACAAGTAGCAAAAGCTGGGGGAAACAAGTAGCACAAGGTAGGGGAAACAAGTAGCGCAAGGTAAGGGTCAAATTCAAAATGGACAAATCGAAACAATGGACGTCAACAAAACGCTTTCTATGGCGACCAAAAACAAGAGAAATTTGTGGAAGGGTCAGTTACCCTGTAGCTATGGAGTGGTCAGTTACCCTGTAGCTATGGAGTGGTCAGTTTCTCTGTAGTTATGGAGTGGTCAGTTACCCTGAAGATATGGAGTGGTCAGTTACTCTGTAGCTAGTGGTCAGTTATTTGAGTTACACTGTGAACAATCTAGCCAGTGAATAAAAGCATGATAAAGCGGATTTAAAAAAAAAAAAAAGATCTCCTTAAACTGGTTGATACAATGTTAAGTAGGTAGGCTTACTATAATTTACTATTGTATTAATATCTCCTTAGTTTTTAGGGAAAAAGTAATTGAAAAATAATTATATCTCCATCAAGGGGGTGTGGGTCAGGATATTGTGATAACGCATTTCATAACATTGTAGGTTTATATTCATTTTTCTGATAACGCATTTCATAACATTGTAGGTTTATATTCATTTTTCTCAATATATATTTTTTTAAAAATCTGTTCATGTCGTTGTCTCCCAATTTTTGTGTTTTTCTATATGAAATATCGACAAAGAGTTTGATTTATTTCTAAAATAACGTAACCTGCTCGTGATGTCTTCGCCTAAAAGATCCGCCCCTGGTCAAGTTAAACTCCTTGGCATCATCTGGCGCTCCCTGGCGTCTCTGTAGGGGAGAGCACGCGTCATGCTGTGTGTGTCGCCACCGTCCCAAGACAATGACGTTGATTGGAGAATTGCAGGGTGCTGCCCAAGCGATCCTAAACTTACTGTAACATCTGGCTACTCGGGTCTTTGGTCTCCCTGTTCATTGTATAATTTCTTTTCTTTTACGCGCACTATAGAACAATACAGTATTTATTAGCAACGAATTAATTATGTCCCTGTGTCATTATTAATTGATTAAATGAAAATGATTGCGGGCACGGCACTCTGAAAAATAAAAATGACCCTCTATTATTTTTAAATAAGCAATGTGCATGATGCTAGCGGACCGAAATAAATGGCCGATTCTTTTGCGCCTGGTGACCCACTGAGCCAACCGAGTGTAGGCTTATAGTAAACAATTAACCCTTCAATAACAGTATATTGACTAGCAAACAATAACACCCTTGGTTCACAAACCTTTTTTCAATAACATTATGGGTACCGTATTAGTGAACAACAACATCCCCGTTTCCTTGGTAATGCACAAGAGTAACACGATGGGGGAGGTATGGATTCTTTATGTTGGTTTTTTTCTGTTCTCCCCTGTCATGTTTGACTACATTCCACACTCTTATGGCTACAGCCGAAAAATAATTTGACTTTAACCTTTTTACGATTTGTCTGAAAAAAAGAATAGAGCTAATGAAAATAAGCCATCCTAACAACTTTCTTTTTAGTATCCTGTTATTTTCGCGATATCTTCTTTGCAGTGGCGTACCTTACTAAATGCCTCCCGGGGGAACTCCAAAAACTGTGACGCTTTTCACAATGACGTCCTCGTTATTTCAAGGTGTTTTTGTTAAGAAATCGATCCATGCCATGGATGAGTGAGTACACCCGTTTGCCAGGTACAGTGCTATTTTAAAGTTCGATATTCACATGTATTTCTCTCCATGACATTTTTAAAATTAATGCATTTGTTTATGTCCCACGCACTTGTCCATGCTTTAAAAATAGATTCGCTCCTCCGACAGATTCGCTCCTCCGACAGATTCGCTCCTCCGACAGCTTCGCTCCTCCGACAGATTCGCTCCTCCGACAGCTTCGCTCCTCCGACAGATTCGCTCCTCCGACAGCTTCGCTCCTCCGACAGATTCGCTCCTCCGACAGCTTCGCTCCTCCGACAGATTCGCTCCTCAGACAGATTCGCTCCTCCGCAGACTCGCGTCTTCTGTCCGTTCCCAAGACACGCACCAAATTATATGGTGAACGATCTTTCTCTTTCTGCGCCCCCAAACAATGGAATTCTTTGCCACTACACATCCGCAAAATAACAACCACACAGGCCTTCAAAACTGCACTCAAAACACATCTATTTAAACTTTACTACTCTGACTGATTCTCCTCCCATAAACCGATAAACGTACATGGGTTTCCTTGTAAAAATGTCTGGTGTGGGTGGATGAATATACCTCTGGTGTTGTTTTGCTTATATGTTGTTTTTATTTCATTTATGTATTTTATTTTAATATTATGATTATGCCTCTTGGCTATATTTATGTACAGCGCGGTGAGCCCAGCCCTAGGCCGGGGTACCGCGCTATTTAAGACCACTTATTATTATTATTATTATTATGTGACCTATGAAGTGAAGCAAATAAATATTATTTTTGATGAGCCCTATGTAGTGAAGCATATAAAATGGCGTCTGTCAAAGTTAATTTCTCAATGGCAATTTATTGAATACCCTCTAGCCTAAATTTTTTTAGCATCGATATATTTGCACTTCAACGGGGCTCAGTGAGGTGGGAACGGGGAACATTAATTTTAAAAAGCACTGTACCGTATAGACATACTGTTATAGAATTAACAGGTCGGGCGGACGTCATTTTCATGATTCGCTTGGGCGATTGGGGTCCCAAATATGCGCGCCAGGGGGGGGGGGCGTCAAAATTGTCCACAAAAAAAAGCTTGACATACTGATACATGAGCATGTTTGCAGCTTTGATGACCAGGAAAATAAAGTTTTATAGAAAGTGATTTTTTTGTAAAAATAACTATAATTTAACATTGTTACAGTTCTTAAATACATTTACCCCCTGACCTTCAAGTTTGTCAATGTTCTAGGCCTACTGTGGACTTATTTTAACAAGCAAAAATCCATCGTGGAAGTGGAAGTCACGTGTGGTCACTAGAAAGACATTACACTCCCCCCCCCCCTCGTAGCGTGTTGTATTTTATGTCGCCCCCCCCTCCCCCCCGCAGATATAGCTGAAAGAAACCCTGCCTACAGCACAGTACGCCCCCCCCCCCTACATTGTTTCCTAACGCTCACGAGGAGGCATTTCAGGGGCTGGGAGGATAAATTATTTTTTTGAAAAAGATGAGCCAATGACTTAAAAGTTATGATCTGATAGAAAATTGCCTTTTTCTGTTTGTTTTTCATTACCATTTTAGTGTAATAAAAAAATAATTGAAGTTTACTTGCTAAGGTCTAAAGTTCTCTTTGCAATTCAATAAACCAATTATGCGTATATAATTTCCATTTTTAAATTGCATCGTTAATTTTGTAGGGGATAGCAGACTTTAAAAAAAAAAAAATTCGCAAGCATTGCAGAACATAAAGAAGATTGGGAAACCCTGGACTAGCAGGCATATTTTTAGCTCATCAATTTATGAAAAGCAAATATTTCACAGTCTTCAAGGGCGTGTTTCCGGTTTAAAACATGTCAACAAAGCCTCTTGGGAAAGCTCCCTTGGTCCTGTTAATACTTCTCCTAAACAGTTTAAGTACATGTAATTTCAAGATTATAAAATGGTGTGACTTGAAGGACGAAATATATTGTAAATTTATGTATCAGTGTTGTTATGCTGTTAGCGAAACCCAAAGGGTAGACTCAAAAATGTCAAATAAATTAATTATAAAACCAGCTGACTCTGCCTCTGGGGAACACAGAGATGAAATCAACATAATACAAGAAAAACAAAGTTTTGAAGAATATTTGACAAAATGCCCACTTAATACTGATAGCAATGCAAGTTTCCATACAGAATTTAAACGCTGGTTGACTTATTTAAAACAAAGTTACCTGGACATTTTTCCTATTGATAAAGATAAATCAAATCATGTACGGCAGGTGAGAAATGCCATGTTTTCCATTGTCAACCCTACACATTTCGTCAGTCAAGTTCAATTAGCCGTGGTATCTGATGCTGCCCTTTCTCATTGTCTTGACCTTAGCCCGAAAGTATTTACCTCAACATTATTTCTTGATTTTACAAGTGGAAATTATCGAAGTGGTTTATTTCCACCTTCTCTTGCACACAGATATGGAGGGCATCAATTTGGTTTTTGGGCTGGGCAACTTGGGGATGGCCGTGCTTTGTTGCTTGGTGTGTTCACAAACAATAGAGGTGACTATTGGGAGCTGCAGCTAAAAGGATCTGGTCTCACCCCTTACTCACGTAGTGGTGATGGACGTGCTGTTTTGAGATCATCAATCAGAGAGTTTTTAGCAAGTGAAGCTATGCATTTTCTTGGTATGTACAATGAAAACAATATTTTTTAAAAATATTGAGCAATGAATGTAGACTTGATTGAAGAAGAATCCTTCACTGCCATAACTTAAGATGCCTTTTTCCATCATCTAACTTAATCGTGACCTAAACAAATTGGGATTAGTATGTGTTATAGTATTTAAAATTGCTTAAGGGCATTGTTACAACTGCTCTGTGTAACATTTAAAATGTACTTTAAAAAGATTATTAAGTCTTTACCCAGGGCCTAACAAAGACTGGCTGGATGCGGCCCTCTTGGTACATTATGAATGAGCCAGTATGAAAATTCATAAACTTAAAGCATTGCTGCCCGTAATAAATATCTCTTGTTTGCTTTTTATTAAAAGATTTGTCACATTTTGATTGATATTAATTAAAACTGGAGCTTAACTGGTTGCAGTTTTTTTTTTACTGAGTCTAGGTACTTTGAGAAAATAATCAATAGGTCCAAATGTTAAAAAAAAAGTTTACTTCTCATTTTCTATAATATATGCAGGCCCTCAAAATATATGCCTTAAGACATGTCACACATGAAAGCTAACTGTGTGAGTGTGAGTTTTTTTTTTCAATCAGTACTATTAATATAAAACGGGGAGTTGGGGGGAGGGTTTGATTGAGGAAGCAGGACACACAAGAAGCATTTGTGTCTATTGCCTCAAGCCTTCAAACCCCTAGTGCATGATTTCCTCATCAACACCAGTAACAGAAACATTGCAAATCCCATCTACATGCATAGGAGCCAAAATGATCAATAAATTGATCGTGGGCCCTTAAGATAAAGAAGAAGAAATATATATGAGATTCAAGAAAAAATTAGTATTGCGGCTACACTTCAGCTATACCCAATAAATTAACCTTCTATGGGCAAAAACATTTGAGTAAGATTGTTTTGATTGATCTTTGCAATAAGATACATACCGGTAGTCTTAAAATGCACAAGAGGTTAGCTACTATAATAGATAAACTCATTGAGAATTATTTCCAGCTGGATTTTTTACTCAATAAAATTTACCAGTATTTAAAATTTGTTTACAGGTGTGAGGACATCTCGGGCTGTTTCATTGGTAGTCAGCAATGATTATGTCATGAGAGATCAATTTTACGATGGTCATCCTGTGCCAGAGCGTGCCGCCATAGTCCTTCGGGTGGCACCTTCTTGGTTCCGGATAGGATCTTTGGAAATACTTGCACAATCTAGCGAAAGAGATCTGCTTCAGTTACTGCTAGACCACATTATCAGCACTCATTACAAGACTATAGATCTGAATGACCCTGACAAATATTTGCATTTATTTCAAAGTGTTGTAGAAAGTACAGCCGAGCTGATAGCCCAGTGGCAAAGTGTTGGATTCACACATGGTGTTGGCAACACAGATAACTTCAGTTTACTTTCTATTACAATTGACTATGGCCCATTTGGATTCTTGGATCACTATAATCCAAAATATGTTCCCAATACTTCAGATGAGGAAGGTCGTTATAATTATGAAAATCAGCCTCAGATTGGGTATTACAATCTTGAAAAACTCTTGTTTTCCATAGAATCACTTTTTGAAAAGTCACAATACAAAACAGCTCAAATTATTTTGAATGGATATTTTGAAGTCTATAAAGATAAATTTGTGAAACTGTTTGCTAAAAAATTAGGTCTTTCTTCAATTCATCAGGCAGAGGATGGAAATTTTGTGGAGATGTTTCTAAAAATTTTGAAAGAATCTGGTGCAGATTTCACTATGACCTTTCGACAGTTGGGAGAGACTCATTTTGATAAGCTGGTGACAGAGAAATTTCATGATAATGGGTGGGCGTTGAATAAAATAATTCAACATTCTCTGTATCAAGATTTTCTGAAATTGTATAAATCCAGGCTGGACTCTGAGGGAACAACAGACGGGCAGAGGCAGAAAATGATGAATGCACACAATCCAAGGTATATTTTAAGGAACTGGATGGCACAAAATGCTATAGCCAGTGCAGAAAAAGATGATTTCACCCAGGTGCAAAAGATCTACGAAATCCTGAAATCTCCATTTATGTATCAACAAGAAGCTGAGGATTTGGGATATGCACGTGAACCACCTTCATGGGCAGCACATATCAAAGTTAGCTGTTCATCATAATGTTTGTTTAATTAACATGTTTAATAGTTTAATATGTTCTAATAATAGTCTAAAATAGTCCTTATATATGTTTTTTGTAATAAGTTTTTTTATAATGTACTGACTGGTACCGGTACTTTAGTTCTACATCTTATAAATCCAGAGAGTAATGAGATGGAAAGAAAGATGGAGCGAACGCAAGAAAAAGGCTTAAATATGGGGAAAATAGGGATAAAGTGGGAGTTTATGAATAGGTCATGCTCCATTGAGAAGAAAATTTGCTGTCAAAAATGTTTCTTCCCTTATAAAAACAATATTGCTACCGTATCCTTATGATTTCAATGTAGACTGAACCTCGGAGACACAGGCAGGATCCATTAAAATTAAATGTAATGTAAACATGACTATACACTCATGATCAGAGTTCGAAAGAAAAAATTTGTAAAGAAATAAAGTAATTCAATTCTATTTCCCTCATCTGTTTAGTTTTACTTGTATACTGAACATAAGAAAACAATACAATGATCGGCGGAACACATTAATATTATTATCATTAATAATTAGGTTTCGTTTTTTAATTTAAAAAATTAAATTTAATACTTTTTTTTTTAAATTTTATTTCACAGAATATTACACAAATCCAATGCAGAAGTATAGCTTCTAATAATTTAATCTAAGATGATAAATTAAAGATTCAATTACTCTCCAATCTAAAATACCAAAATTATGAACATTAGTATCTTTATACTATAGCCCGCCAAACAATGGCAATGTGCGAACTTCCCATCTACTTACTTGACAAAATATGCATTCAAGAAGCACACTTTACAAGAATCCAAATTAATTCTACATCCTTCCCCCCCCCCCTTTTTTTACACCCTTTTGCGCCCCTGAACTGTATTAATATTCCAATGTCATACCCCACTTTTAGATATTCAAGAAGCACACTTTACAAAAATCCAAATTAATTCTACATCCTTCCCCCCCCCCCCTTTTTTTACACCCTTTTGCGCCCCTGAACTGTATTAATATTCCAATGTCATACCCCACTTTTAGATAGCAGATATATTGCATCATATTTAAATTAAGACTATTTCCATAAAACAATATAATAATATAGTCCACCAAGTTGTATTTTTAAGAATCACATTTAGGCAGTTACCGATAATTTTATTTTGTGTGCTACTGAATTCACCAAGACACCATAATTTCTTTCATAAGCTAGATCATTTTTTTTGCTTGCATCCATCCATCCCAATGTGATGATGGTGTAGACTTGCATGACGAAATCCACAAGGCCTGGGATTATACTTTTTAGGATTTTAAGCTGGAGCCTTACACAGCAAATCTACCTCTCTCCACAACGCTGGATAACCAAGGAAACATCATGTGGATGATACAGCTTGGCACCAGTGGCAGCGCAGGAGTTGCATTGTGTCAATGTTATCTGCCTACGGGACTCCATCTTCGGGTTTGAATTCAGAGTTTCCTTCTCTTAGATGAGTTGCCATCCAAGGATAACAAGCCCCATCCACCCGGGATACTGGTGATGTTTTTGCTTGACTATCTTTGGTGGGGACTGAACTCCAGACTGCGAACTTGAGTGACTCAGTTTAGACCACTCGGCCACCCAGCACCCGAGCCAGATAATTATATACCTGTGTATCATATGAATAGCAAGCTGGTGCCTTAACACCCCAGGGAGATGCATCAATACTGGTGTCTGGATTGGTCAGATTTCCTTAACCTTGCTAACTTTTCCAGAGGAAGTGATGGCTTTCTTACCAGTTGTCACAATGTAGTCTTGTTGCCCTTGGTCAACTTGTAGTGAATAAGTTAGGCTGCCAGCAGGTAAAACCTTCTAAGATTTTCTATGAGCATGGCTTTCTAGGTGATAAAACTTGTTTTGATAAAATGTTGATTCAAAAACCAAGCCCGTAGACTTTGTAACTATTTACCACAGTGGTTTCAACCTATGGTCCATCAACAGCAGGTGGCCTGTGACTTGTTACCCAGCGGCCCACCTTGAGGTTAAAAAAAAAAAACAGCAATAATTTTGAATACCGTACCCAGTACATAAATACATGTAATTAAATTATGTCAGAAAATTTCAATTAAAAAAGTCAAAATTAAGCTCACGTAGCACCCTGTCTTTCTAAATAACCAGCTGCTGGCACAGTAGCATTTGTTCAATTCTGTCAGGATATCAATGTTTACCATTGAAGCACTAGAGTTTGCAAGTGGTTCAATGAAGTTTAAATCAGTGCTTTAGTGCACAGAGAGGTAAATTATGCTAGTCAGCATGGGCAGTGGTAACAATGAAAGTCATAGGTTTGTAATTCTCACACCGGCACTACACTAACAGCTTTTGGTTAAAAAAACTTCCCAAACAGATTCTCAATTTTTGAAAAAAAATTCCCATAACTTTGTTATTCATTACATCTCAAGACCTCTGAAATAAACATTTAGTACAATTTTTCAAGGAGAAATGATGGAGAAAAGGGGAATTCTATTTATAATAATTTATAATTTATAACCTAAAAAATTTAAATATTGATAGTAATCTATGAGCATGAGCATCCCTTTTAAAACTATTCCAAATAAAAATAATTTAATTTGTTTGACCAATTACTATTGTCAGAACAGATGCAAGACTAGGGTAGCAGCCTTTAAAAAAAATTAACCTACCGTAACTAATCATATAATAATAAATATATTTGTATTACAAACATTCAAATATGTTAAAAAAAACACATGGTTTGAAATTACGTGTAGGTATAATAAAGTTATTTAATTCTTTAAAATATAAATATCTATAATAGATTCTTGTTTTCTCAAAACTATTAACACTATGAAAAAGATTTTAAATGAGAAATACAAATTATTGAAAAACATCAAAGTTTGCAAAAGGGGTCCATCTATATTTTACTCAGAATTTTGTGAATAAATAGCACATGGATTCCCCTACCTTTGATACTCAGTTTAATGATGCATTCTGTGATCATTGTCCACTTGGTGAATGAGGATATGTTGTCTGATCCTAGTATGGAGCTCCAACTAATGCTTAAGAAAATAGAACTAGAAGCACAGAAAGGGCTACAGAGATAGAGACTGCGAGACAAAGAGATGGAGCACGACTAATAGACTCACATACTGTAATGATCGTAGATATTGTAAATTATATTTACTGTATATGTGTGTGTACTTTCCCAATATTTGTTTCGGTGCGAGTTCATTGCCTTAATGTAGGTGAATAGCCTTGGTTTTATTCTATTTGATTTTGTAAAGTTTAATAAATTATTATTTGTAATTAGCCCTAGTTTGGGTATCAATCATTGTTACTGTATTTAATTAATTTTTAATGTATAGTCCTTTGTTATGTACTGTTTGTCACGAGCCATAGAGTAAAATAAGAGATTAAATTCTCAATACATTATAGCAGTGCGTAACAATCCCAAATAATAATTCTCTAGTTATGTATGTATGTATGCATGGCTGTAACACTGTGTTCAATATAGGCGCACTAAATAAAAGTCCTGGAAGTTGGCACATTAGTAGATGAAAGTTCATGCATTGCCATCATTTTTTTTGGCGGGTTATTTCTAGTTGAATAATAAAACAATAAGTTATTAATAAATATTTATTGCAGGTACAAATTTAACAGAATGAAACACACAATTTATTTTCTTCTGAAATGCTACAGAAATAATTTTTATACAATTATTGTCCTTTTGCAAACAACAAAAATATAGTTATTATAGAATTGTAAAAATAACCACATTTTAATTATTGCCAATATTCTTATGCCAGATCAAATAATATACCTGTACTGTAGAGTAATAGGCAGTAAAAAAAAAGGCAGTGTAACTAATGTACATTTATTTGGAGGATCCACAATTTTCACACACTTTCAATAACAACCATGTCACTCTCTTTAACAAACAATTTTTTGTCAAAAAAGTGGACTTAATAGATTTGTATTACCTTTCAAATAAAATACATATAAAAGTGTTTGGACTAATCACGTATAATATGTGGCACTGCCAGTTATTTGAATTTTAGACCTTTGGTCAAGATACACAGCTCTTAACCTAAAGCAAATTAAAAAAATGAAATGAGATGCTGATGTTACAATGGCATTAGCATAAATGTTACAGTACAGCAGCCTTAAAAACGTAACAAAATAACACAACGTCTTGATCATTGTTTTCATTTTAAGATAAATGTTACCATTGGAGTCACCAATGAACACTGCCTGGTAGTACTATAGTAATAAGACACAATTGGTGTAAGTAAAACAGAGTGGTTAAGCTTTAATTAATTAAAACTACAAAAACTAAAATTTCGGCCAATGTTTTTGTCAGTAAAAGAGAAACAAAACGGATATGTTTTTAGATAAAATATAAATCCTACCAATTAAATAAGTAAAATGAAAGAAATAAAATAGGGTGGGCACAAAGTCCCTCACAAAAATGTTTAGTAAAATTTACCGACAAAGACATTAATTGAAAAATTTATGATGTTTAATTAAAGCATTAACATACTGTTTTCCTTACTGAATTTGAATGTGTCTTATTAACCCAGATTTAAGTTTTTTTTATAACTAATAGTGCTAGTATATAATAAATAATAATTTAAATTAAATTCTATAAATCTGCTCTAATATATTAATTTTGCATTGTCTTCCATTATTAATGGATCTTAACTCAATACTATTAGTGGATCTTAAATAAAACCCAGAGAAACTTGTTACAAAAAAAAGTAGAATTTGTATACTTGACAATAACAAATTTTTGAATCATTATATTTATATATGATTACAAATGTTTCTTTTCAATTTTTGTAATTCATTATTTCATCATAAAGAACATACATAAATCTAGCAACATTTAGGAGGGGATGCTAAAATGGATTATTTGTAAAGCTGAATAAAAATCACAATCTTTCTGTTAACAGTAACAGGAAGTATTAATAATTTTCAGATAAAGTATGTTATTCTTTTAACTCATTTATCATTTTGAGGTCCTTTTCCATTCATTTTACTTTTCCTCCGGAGTCTTTTGATACGAACTTTAGATTTCCTTTTTAAGTCCTCCTTCCCTTCTTTGTAGAGTGATCTCAGAGAGTCTTCTTTTGGTATTTGTTTTAACTTTCCTTCTTTTCGCAAGTACCTATTGAAATATAGAGTATTAAATCAACTACCAGATTAAAATTTTAAAACAAAATTATTTTAAAAAAACGTATAGTTTTGTAGGGCTATTCACTATGCAAAGAAGCCAAACATTCATAAAGCCACATTTTCTCTTCGTTTGCAACGAACAATTTAACCCTCGAACTCAGGTCGGCATATTTAATAGATTGATTTTCTCTTCCTGTACTGTGTTGGCCAATAAAAATTGCGTTGAAAGAACAACTGCCAGTCCAATATTTTACAATAAATAAAACTACTTCCTTTTAATAATAAATATACTTCTGTTTTTCGCTCTTCTGCATCCTTTTTTTAAATTTTGGAGTTATTTTTTACAACGATCTTTATGAAGCAAATTTGTGTAAGTGGGTTTTTGCGAAATGGATGAGGCCATAGCTGGACCATCTGGCTTACAAAATAAATGAGTTACGAATCTTTTTGATAATTCTTTTTAGTTAATGACTTAAGTGATTCGGAAGATGATTTTCCGATCACACACGAACACAATGATAATTCAGATCATTTTTCTAGTGGGTTAAAAGCGAACATTAGGATGATTTAGACCTAGGCCTAGAACAAGAAGGTGTTGCCACAACAACAGGACTCGATCAAAGCTATGTGGCAGATGATTTTGTACAAACAAAAAATAATTGGATGTTGTTCTATATGTTTTGTTATATTTCATTTTATGGATTAAATATTCATATCCCAGCTTTTTGAATTTTATCTGTTTCTTGCTGTTTAGTAATGTTTATATTGTTTATGTCGTGCTTGGTTATGTGAACGTAATTATAGGTATCAGAAGAATTTTTTTAAAAACTCTATGAACAACTAAAACATATACAAATAATATATTTTATGAAAGATAAATGAAAATGGTATCATATTATATAAACATTATAATAATATGCCTTTTAAAAATTTTAATTTGAGGCACTTGAAAATAAAACTTTTCATTATATTCTTGTTCACTCCAAGGTCAAGGTCACTGTCACAGGGTATAAAATAGCATTAACAAAACAGCCAGTATGATTCCTCACTCAGTCTACTTTCTTTAAATATTACTTATGGGGTCTAGCTATAGTTGCATGTGGAAAAACCACCTTTTTCTAAGGCACCCAAAAAGCTCTAAACTGCCCGCATTGTACAGAAACGTAACGTACACAGTTTATGAGTTAATGCGCAAAATAAATTTTAATTAAGCTGTTGTTAAAACGACTGTTCTCCAAATATTTTTTATCATAAAATAATTGTTTTTAGGATAAAAGAGGGGGCTAGGATCAGTTTACAGTGAAATGTGAATTTTTTAAAATCATTCGACATATACTCAAATGATATTGCATGACTAGTAACAGTGAAGATACGGAATAAGAAAATTACCTAATGACAAGGTTGGTTCCTCCAATTGTGACTGCATATCTTGCTGGAGTTGCAAGTTTATACAAAAGATAAGCCACAGCTACAAATCCTAGACCCCCAGATCGAAATGGTGAAATAACCTTCTCACTGACATTCCAGTTTTCAAGGTATGGAACAATGTCTAAGCCACTGCAATATAACAAGGAAAGATAAAAGTTAAAAGCATTTTTTTCAGAACATCACAATTCTTTATAATTTATCTAAACTTAATACAATTAATTAATTTAATTAATTGATTTTGAACGAGTAAAACTTTGTGCTGTTTTACCTCTTCGATTATGTCAAGAATTTGTAAAGAAAGAGTAACTTGCCTCCTTGCAGCAACATAAAATGATCCAAACCAAGCAGCAGAAGTGACTAAGTGAACACCAATTAGTATTTTCCCATGTTCTTTATAAGTCTGCTTAAATCGCTGATAAAGTGATAGTTTCTTTGGTGTATCAGGAGGACCATTACTTGGGGTGATTCCATCTTTCTTTTCACCAGATTCAATAATTTTTGATGATCCATTAATAACACCACCTTTCTGTTCACTTTGAATCTTTGTTTGATTATGGGGTTCTAAACTGCCTTGGGTCATGCACCTTAGCTGTCCTAGAAATATTTGGCTTGTTGACAATGGCAAAGGATCAACTGATGATGTTTTGTATTTGTATAATCCTCTGCCTATTTGAAATTGTTTTGAAAAAATGCTTTTGTTATATTTAGGGCTATAAGTAAAAGTTAGGTCTATATTTATATTATTCTTAATATTAGGTCTACTATTATTAGTTGCAGGCAATGTAGGCCTATCACATACCACCGGCACTGGTATTGTCAGATATGAAGCAGAAGAATTGAGAGTTGAAGAACGTCTTTTTAACTCTGCTGGTGTTCTCTGACATGATGCAGTGTTTATCAACAAAAGTTTATAATTAAACTTAAACTGTAAACTTGCATACTTTTCAATGTTGTCAATAGTTATAGTTTCATGCTGCTGCAATGATCGTTTAGATAAATATAATAATGATGACATACGTCTTGACCCCTGTCTAAACACATTCTTCACATTATTATCAGTTGACGTAGTCTTTAAACTACCATTGCATTTGTTAACGAATAATTTAGTCAAGTTGACAATATGACCCTGTCGCAGCAATATATTAAATGCCATGTATGAAGTGAAGGTTAAAAATTAAAACAGTCTTAAGTTTCACACAATTCTCCTATGCAGGTGAACCCGTTATTGCATTACATTTACATGCTTCCCTTTTCAATAAATTGAACTTTAACTATTTCCGGATAATGGCATAGAGTCGAAGTAGTCTCCCCTTGAGTAAACACCTCTGCGCCCTAGTCCAAAACATTATAATTCTGCGCCTCCTCCCAACCCCACAAAAAGTTAATTTACAATTTCAAATTTAATCTGCAATATTTTTTTAAATAAGCACTTAATGCTAATGTTACCTTCAACCTTATATTATTATCAAACAGGAAGTTTAAATAAAATAATATGAAAAATACTTTTCAAGAAACTTTCTGATAAATTCAAAATGCTGTGTTGCAATTAGGCGCATATACCTGACTTTAGCAGGACATTATATATTTGACAAGAAGCAGAAGAGATGTAAGGTGGTCATATAGGTTTTATTGACCTGGTTGTGTTGATATAACTTTTAGTTGTGTCCGAATAATTAAGCTGTTTTATCATGTTTATTCAAACTTTATAATGGCTTCAATTACTTCGTTAAATCTGTATATTTCCGCCCAGATGGGGACTGCTAACAACATAAGCAATGTTGAACGAAAAAGAAACAAAACTATCGATATAATATGTACTCTTTGCATTTATTAGGAATTTCAAATATTTCCAAGATGTACGGCAAAAAAAAAAAGTGTACATGTTGCTATGTAGAAAAAATCTATTCCTCTTTACTACTACTTAAAACTGGTTATTTTCTTTAAAGTTGTATAAAAAATGGTATAATTATGTACAAAAAAAAAAGATATGAAGCAGCATAAATTTCTACACAATAAAAAATAATTTAATCAAAATTTTTACTTGGAATTTCAAACTACTATAATTTCGTCATATACATTACTAATTAATGAACATATGGCGCCTATTTTGTATAGATCTTCGATTTAATTTTTACAAATTTCACCCCTACTCACAGGCCGAACAAAATAATGTAAAAATTAAAGAATTTTTTTCAAAGTAGCCTCAAAATTGAATTAATTTGAATATCTAAAAATTTGTGAAACCTTTATTTTTAAAGCAAATTAAATATCCTAAATCTTTCAATATTTATTGTATGGGCATCTGGGTGCTTCTAGCATCGTGAGGCGCTGGGCAACTGCCCAGTGTTCCCATAACTTAAGGCGACAATGCCCCCTTGTGTAGACGCCTCTGGCCTTATGGGAAATCCGGCCCTGGCTCAACGTAACTGCATTGAATCAATTACGCGTGGCAAGGAGTATTCGTAATCAGCAATTTGTGCTCAGCAAACGAGAACGTTACTGTTACAATGGCACACTCCATGCTCTCCCAGTAATATACAGTGGACCAATCCATGTTCTCCCAGCACTGTTACAATGACCCACTCCATGCTCTCCCCGTACTGTTACAATGACCCACTCCATGCTCTTTTCGTACAGTTACAATGGCCCACTCCATGCTCTCCCAGTACCTCACCCCAAGCGATGTGATCACGGCCTACTCTATGTTTTCCAGTACCCCATCACAGACGATGTGATCACGGCCCACTCCATGCTTTTCCATCACACCATCCCAAGCGAAGTGATTGTGATCACGGTCCGTTCAATCAATGAAGTCACCAAGAATTATGAGCTTGTCCTGCTTTGCAACATCAGCTATGACAGAGTGAAGACCCTCATAGAACTTGGTCTTTACTTCATCTATGTTGTTCATTGCTGGAGCATAACAACCGATGATGGTGAGGTGTTGTCTTCCAGAAAAGAGAGGTAATTTCATTGTCATCATCCAATAGTTGACTCCCGTTGGAAGTACAGCCAGCATGCTAATCATTGCAGATTTGATAGCGAAACTAACACCAGCCTCACTCACAGCTGGTTCTCAAATTCCCCAGCCACTCGAAAAGAAGGAAAATTCAGAGCTCCTTCGAAAAGTTATCTCTCTCGTGAAGCCAGGTCTTGCTAAGAATTACAATTTCTACCTTGTACCTCTTGAACCCCCAAAATTTCGTCATTACATCTCTTGTATAGTCTAGTGTTTGAAATTATTTTAAACAAAACTTCACACGGGGTGGTTGCCTCTTCGCTCCTTCTTTTATACTACTTTAACTTTAGTAACTTAGTGGTATTAGGTCCACCACTGTTCTCGGTTTCAACCATTTGTCCCGGTTTCAACCCTAAAAATTGAGGTAAGCCTATTTATTTATTTATATAAATATATGTTGTTGTTTTTTTAAATTTGTGACAACTGCTAGATTTTATTTTAAACATTTATCGCGAGGTTAAGATACTTGATATTAAATTAATTCGTTGAATAACTTTTTGCTTCAGTTAGTGGGACAAGAGGAGGTAACTGCAATCAAAATGGAGGATCGGGAACAAAATTAAAACTATTTATCCTGAAATTAAAAATGTATCCTGACAAAGTAAAATAGAAAGTTATGATGTGTATCTCGTTTCAAAAAATTATTCACGTTTAAATCTATTTAAAAATGGTATTTAGTAAAGTGAATTAAATTAATTGTCAACGATTTTCCTTTTATACCAAAGACGACGACTGAAACCCCGAAACAGTGAACTGAGTGAGTGAGACTGATCTGATTGATAGTGATAGTCTGATAGTTGAACAAACAACACTTGTTAACTTGTTATGACAACTCAAACATCGCTGAATTTGAGTAGGCCCCACACATTTTTACTAAATAAGTATCGATAATATTAAACAAGCTTCAACATTCGGACATTCAAAACTAGACTATAAAAGTAATCAATTCAATAAATATTTGGGCTAATCCTAGTTACAATTGCCAGGGCCAGAGCTTATACTTATTTTCCAGGTAGTGACTTCCTTTGTTTATTTTTAATTAATTATTTTAGGGATCGATTTAGGGTTCAGGTTAGGCATAGGGATCGATTTAGGGTTTCAGGTTAGGCATACTCACATAGTCACATAGGGATCGATTTAGGGTTCAGGTTAGGCATAGGGATAGATGACTTCACTTGAGGTGTTAACCAAGATGGCGGCCATTGAGAAAATAGTGGCAATTGTAGTCAAAATTTACCAATACTTGATCAATATTGAATCAATATTATTATTTGACTAATTTGATAAGAATAATCATAAGGATCATAATCATAGCGCCTTTCCTTTATTTTGTATTGACGGATTTGATTGATGGCATTTGCATTTTAGGTTTAGCCCTTCCTTCTATTTCTATTCTATTGTGATTATGATTAGGTTATGGGCTTATCATTTTAATATTTTAATTCATTAGTAATTGGCCAATATTTCCAGTTTTCCATTTTAATGAAATTTAATAATTCCATGCTTCAGGTTATTTAGATTAAAAGTTAATAATTTAGAGTTTTGATAAGTGGGGCTTGGTTGAGTCTTGATTGATTGGATAATGTGAAAATCAAAATGACATTTGGATTATACTATACATAAGGTTGCATTACATTATACGCTCGGTAAGCACTTACTATGTCAGTATCTGCCTTGCCATTTTATCACCATATTTGGGAAGAGTGCCTATCTTTTTACTAAAAACAGAAGAATTCTATTTACTGTATAGCCTATTATTCAAATGTATTTAATTAATAGGCAGATAATCAATATGTGAGATACGCTCTAAGCAGGATAGATGATAAATAGAAATCAATGCTTCCTTCCTCAAATTAGCCTAAGCATAAGGATAAATCAGGATGAACGTAGCAACTTAATTGACAATTGTATCTTTCAGATATAATCCTAACCCCAACCTAGGACTTTATCTTTCTTAACCCTAAATGCAAATTAAAGACATTTATTGATATTTTAGAATAAATTGTAAAGTGATGACAATGGCTTGTTGTCAGCTAAAGTGTGGAAACAGGAAGTGAAAGTGTAACATTTATTGCACATTTGCATAAAAATATTGCCTCTCGGAAACCCAATTACACACAGGGCTCAACTCACCCTACAAGGTCACTTTGTTATTAATAATGTGTATGCCTAATCATTGGGCTAATATGTAGGCTGTAGGTTTACCTATGACAATTTTGACATTGTCACCAGTGATCTTTCAGAATTCAAAGTTTATTTAAACCTATTAATAAAACTTTATAATTTATTCTTCACCAAATTATTGTGTAAAATTAATGACATTACAGAAAGGAAAAAAAAATCAATAATAGATAATTGCATGGTGGAGTGGCATATATGAACACTGTAGGGAAGGGTAGAAATGTATTAGTTAATTTAATTAAAGTATATTAAAGCCTAGTTAAGAGTAATTATCATGCCTAATTTGGTACAAATTTGATAAAATCCCATAAAACATCCATAAATATCTAGATTGACATCTAAATTCTTAAGAGAGAGCATTTTAAAAGTCTGATTAATCTGTGCAACCCTACATATATTTGTTGAAACAAAATCTTTTTGTAAAATTCTTACCGTCAATTTTTTAAAAGTTATATTCCTTTAAATTACTAAATTACTACTTTAATGTCACCCAATTTCAAATTGATTTTTCTTTCAGAACTAGTTGAAGTTCACATATTGAATGGCATAGCCATCGTCATATTAATAAAAATGCCTCTGTCACCAAGAAAACAGCCTTCACCATATGTTTCCAGGAGCACTCAAGCATGTCGACTGCGCTTTTTAGATAATACATGTGACAGCATGGTTCAGTCCAGAGAAATTCTAAAAACAGGTACATTTTATTGTTCATTTGATGAAAGTAATAAAGAATTTACCTACTGAAATTTGTGTGAAAGAAATCTTATGTTTTTAGTTCAGATTTCATTATGTCAAAGCTATGAAAGAGATAAAACGTCATTTCTATCTATAATGTAGATTAACCATCTACTGATCATGAATGATTTTGAATGGGCTATGCCAGCGGTTCTCAACCTGTGGGTCGTGACCCCTTTGGGAGTCGAACTACCCTTACACAGGGGTCACCTAAGACCATCGGAAAACACATATTTATGAAGTAGCTACGAAAATAATTTTAAGGTTGTGAGGTCACCACAACACAAGGAGCTGTAATAAAGGGTTGCTGCATTAGGAAGGTTGAGAACCACTGGGCTATACTGTGATGATTAA